TTCTTTCCTTCTTCCCAGTGTCCAAGTAGAAAGCGTAATTCTGAAATTTCTAAAAATGTACATTCAATTCAGGTAGCATACTGTCAAAGCAATCTTGGATTAAATGATATTCTTAGCTGGCCTCCTTGGTGGCTCAAGGGGTTAAGGTGCAGCACTCTGAAACTGCTCACAGCCACTGTAATGCGAGTTCTATCCCCAGCCAGGGTGGTGACCCATATGGCGTAGCAGATCTCTCCTGTCTCGCCTGCTGCTCCCCTCAGCAGTGTATTTCAGTCAGTCTGCCTGTTCTGTTCCCCACTCTGTCTCTGGTGAATCCTCTCACCCCCACATACTTCTGGCCTGTACCCCAGGTCTTGTATACATAAATAAATAAATCTTTAAAAAAAAAAGTATTCTTAGCAGTATTTTTGGGCAGTACCTCCTATTATATTTAAGATAAATAATACAGACAGGGATTGAATAATTTGTGCATGGTCAGTGAGAGTTGAGTAATAGCCCATTTGTTCCAAATCCCAGTTGCATATTCTTTTTTCCTTATGTTTTAAATCAAATATTGTGCATTTCAAACACAGCATCAACACCTCTGCATGTCCAACTCCATATCTCAGGTATTTCATTTCCCCATGAAAATTTCATCTTAAGTCCCTGAATTATCCTGCTAGCCTCACTCCTTCTGCATCAACTCTGCCTAGTGAAACTTTTTGATGTATGCAAAACTGCCACTCTTTTTCCCCATGTGTGCATACGATTGGAGCAAGGGTATATGTGAGAAATGCTGACATTGTGTGAGATTTATGAACCCAAGTCAGCCATTAGTTATGAAGAAGGCAGTTGTAGGATAAAAGTTCAAGAAGACTGGTAAGGGTCAATCACAGTGACAATGACAGACAGGAAAATTGTCAGATAAGACAGATGTGCTACGTTTTTGTTTTCTTTTTCACTATGCACAAATATCTGTGGGTTCATCAGAAATAGAATAAACTCTCTGAACTTTAAATGAAATATAATGTTGAAATAACAACAGAGTACAGCCAGAGAGGAAATTGTATGGCACATAGTAACATATCCCAATATTTGCCAACATCAAAAGATCTATTTATTTCATCAGCCTCTTTGATTGTATTTATTGCTTTATTTCCCCCAGTAAACTATTTTGTGATGGGGTCAAGGTATCATTGGTTACCAGTTAGAGTAAGAATATAAATGAGAAGAATTTGAAAAACTTTGGAGTTTTTGGAGGAAAGCAGTTTGGAAGAAAGGAAAAATAAAAAGAACAACAACAACAACAACAAAAGAAGTGGCAGAGACTTCTGTTGGCAGCATACCACCTCAGGCTCCTCAGATTACTTATATTTATTGCATGTCTTTGACATTGCAGTGGTCTAGAAGTATCCATTAGAAAGTTGAAAGACATCTCTAGGTCAAGCGATTTGTGGAAGCTCCTATGAAATGCCAGACTCTGGAAACTTAATCAATCCTTGCTGCAAACAGCCATCAGTCCTTGAGTGTTGGCTCTAGGGGTATAGGGGGAAAAAACACAGTCTGCGTTCTCACTTTTAAATTTTTGTTTGAAGCAAATTGAAAGCACTCTTTGATACTGCCTTTCATGGAATTTAAATGTGAAATTAAAGCACGCGTGCACTAATCGAGGAAAGAGAGACTAGGGCTGACTTTCACTTGCTTTATTTTGTCCCCAGATTGAAATCCCACTCAATTTATTCATCCAATTCTTCATTCAGCAAACAGAGTAAGGGCCGGTTATTACCAGATACTGCCTGATGGATAGCAATGAAACCGACAAGGATCCTCGTGCCAGGAAGATTCCAGTCTAGTGAGGAGGTACAAAAAAATGAAAAAGAAAACCACAAAAATTGTTTTCATTGATAGAGTTTTTTTAAAGCAGGACCAGGTAAATGAGTTTCTCGGAAACTCTTTGAGAATGGGGTGAGGAAACCTCTCACAGGAAGAAATTCCTGAACCGCTGCTTGTCTAATAAAATGGCTCTCACCAAGTACATTTTTTTTAAAGATTTATTTATTTATACAAGCACTGGGTACAGTCAGAAATGCAGGAGGGTGAGAGAATTCACCAAAGCCGGAGCAGGGAACAGAACAGGCAGACTGACAAAATACAAGCTGAGGGGAGCAGCGGGTGGCAGGAGAGGTCTGTGGCGCCATGTGGGGCCTTCACCGGTGGCTGGAGATTGAACTGGCGCTGCAGAGGCTGCGGGCAGCTTCACAGCCCAGCGCTCAACCACTGTGCCACACCATGGGAGGCCCCCAAGTACATTTTTAAATTAATTTATTCATTGTCAATTGAGGTGGTATTGGATACCCATATCAGGTATTACCGCCATAGTGCACCCTCCACCAACTCACCCATAGGCCCTCACCATAGTCCATTGTGACCAATCACGTTCTTTATGGAAAGAACATTTCAGCAGGAGAAAGTGTTCTCTTCACAAGTGAGAACGAGGCTGATATGTACAAGGACACTGGAAAGTAGTGCAAAGGACACCTGAAGCAAGTCCAGTTCAAGAGAAATTCCAGACCAGGATCCAGTTGGGCCTCATAGGCCACAGTGAGGATTCGAGTTAAATCTAAAGTGAAGAGAATCTATGGAATAATTTTAAGCAGGGAACTACCACTTAATCATATCCCCTCATAATCCCAGCAGACCCAGGGGCGTAGAAGATGTTTGGTCTGTAAATTGCCCAAACAGTATCAACCCATCTTTAGTTTTATGCCACATAAAGTCTGACTCCCAAGGTATAATTTGTAAACTAAATGATATTATTTTTATACCATGACCTGGGGAAAGGAAATATTCAGTGTATCAATTTCCAGTGCCTGGATAGGAGAAGAAAATCTAATGTACTCGAGCTGGAAAGATTACAGTGCATCTTGTAAATATTTCTCCAGTGTATAATTCCCTACTTGGATGAGTTTTTACCTTGAATCAAACTTCAGTCCATTATAGTCAAAGGAAAACGGAATACAAATTATGAATTCTTTCGGAAATAAAGGGAAAAGTGCTGTTGTGCAATAAATGCAGAGACTGTGCTCTCTCACCCATCATTTGTCTGGAGATCCTCGCCGAATGGCAGCTTTGCTAACAGGGCATTTCGTGGGAAGGCATGGTCTGCTGAAATAGAGCTATTAGGAAAACAAATGATTCTCTTTAGCATCTTGGCACAAGCCTAAGCTTTATGCAGCTCTATTTTGCTATAGCCTCCATTGATATACAAGAACTCTTCTGAAGTGTTTGAAAGGCAAACCGTGACAGACGTAATCATTCTCTTGTAACGCTGAGAATCAACTAGAATCGCCAATACCATCTAACCTGGGCTCTCATTCACTCAGTGTCAATAACGGCTGTTTTGATGCAATGTAGAATCAATCACCTATTAAGTTTGTCCTGTTACTATAGTTTTACCGTAGTAAAATGCTTAGCATTCCATAGATATATGATTTTTAAAATGATATCTGTTTTAATCGTTTTTACTTAGTAAATACATTTGGGTATCTGCATGTTTCCAAATAATGGAAAAGATACATTCTCAAACTCTTGTAAGATTTATTATGAATTGATTAATTATCATGGTTATTTTATTTTATTTTATTTTATTTTTTTTAATAGAGGCATGCTTTATTTATTTGTTTGCTGGTTTGTTTGTTTGTTTTGTTTATACATGCACTGGGTACAGTCAGAAGCGCGGGAGGGTGAGAGAATTCACCAGAGCCAGAGCGGGGAGCAGACCAGGCAGAAGGACTGAAGTACACTGCTGAGGGGAGCAGCGGGCGGCAGGAGAGGTCTGCGCGCCATGTGGGACCCTCCTCTGGTGGCCGGGGAGCAGCCGGGGATCAAACCGGCGCCGCAAAGGCCGCGGGCAGCTTCGCAACCCAGCGCTCAACCGCTTCGCCACCGGGGAGGCCCTATCATGGTTATTTTAAAACAAAAAAAATATTTAGAATGATCTACCTTCATAACTGGGAAATGTGTGTGTTGGGGAGAGTAAGGGAGGGAGAGAGAGAGATTATTTATAATAGAGTCCAGGATTTATGAAATGGAGGGGAAATAATATGCTGAATTGAAGCACACAAATTAGCCGTGACCCACGTACTTTCTCTTTAGTCACCCCTCTATCCAAAGCAACGTTCCAGAAGGGAGACTAGAGACAGGTCAAGCTGCAAGAGCAGTTAAGCCAAGTATGATTTGTCTATGCCTGAGAAGCTTCTCATAGGATATTAACAATCATTACATAGGCATCGCAGCCACTTATTTTGGAAAACTCCTATAAAAAAGCAAGCCAATATGCAAAAAGTAGATTCAAAGTATCTCATGACAGAGTCCAGATCTGTCCTTCAGTACACATTCCTGGGGTGATTCTTCTCCCAGTCACATCTGAACTTATCCTAACTCCTTAAAAAAGTTTGTAAACAGATTTTTTTTATGGATTTTTTTCTGTATATTTTCTTGTCATCAATTCTTTACCCTGTGCCTAGAATAGTCTGTTTTAGATTTCCTAAAATCCTAGTGTATTTGGACTTTCTGTAAATGTTCTCAAAGTAACTCTCCCAGTCACAACTTCCTAAGAGTGATTTAAAGACGCCTACATCTAAAGAAAATCTGAAAATAAAGAATACAGTGGGAAACAAAAGTATACAAACTCTCAACTGCGAAATGTTGTCTCATTTTGCTTGCTGTTGATTTGTCTTTCTTACTTACAGTTGTACCTGGACCTTAAAGTTAGTTGTCATGAATGGAGGCATTTTCTTTTTCTCCAAGGCTCTCAAAACATCATGAGGTTTGCTTCCTTCCACTTCCAGGGTTGCAGCGAGTCTAAAAATGTTTCAATGGTATGCTAATCCAACTCACTGCAGAGCAGGGTGGTAGCAAGTTCAACAGAGTCTTCCACCTGCCTCATGCTGATGACTCAGGAACCTTCCAGTTGGGTTCACTCAAACACCACGCAGGACCAACCATACAAACTATTTCCATTTGACAGCCAGAAATACATATGATTCCACACAGTTAATTTTAGAATGTAATTCGTGGGGCTCTTTCCAGATCCCTCAGCACAGCATCTGTTCAGAGCTGGTCCATATGACATAGTCTGACAGTTTTTATTGCTTTCCCAAGAGAATCTCTTAATGATATCAACTTCTCCGTTGTCTTTTGAACAGATAAGCGCTGTCTCTGATGTCAAGCCTTGGAATTCCGGTTTCTGAATAATATTACACAAATACTTATCATCAGTTCTATTTTGTAAGACATTTATTCAACAAATGTTTGCTGGGGGTATACCTTTGCCTGGTGCCATCCTTTTGATTTTGAATAAAAGAAACAGAAAAAAAAAAAAAACATAGTTTCAGCCCCCATGAAAATTTAGACTGGTGGAGCTCAGAATTTTTAAAATGTGGAAAGTGGCCCACAAGTTCAGTATTTCAATCTTTGCAGGAGGTTATTCAGATTCACCTAGATCTGCTACTTTCCTAACATTATACAATAACCCAGGGACAGAACATGAGTAGAGCACAGCCTCATTTCCAGTGCCCTTTCTTTTACACAGCTGGCAATAAAATATATTCAACTACCAGGTAAATAAAAGTTTTTCTACTTTCATCCTGGTGTCAGACATCCTTAAGATGAAGAGACATAATACTTGTAAATAAAAAAAGACTGTGTAAAAAGAAATTTTATATATATATATATGTCTATATATGTGTGTGTGCACACACAGGCACACACTTTTTGTTTATGAACCAGAAAGCTCAGTTACTCAGAAGAAAACTGCAGACACACCTGTCCTCTAAGGAACTCACCATATTTTACAGATAATGTTCAGTTCTTCCTTGCAATATTCCTATGATGCATCGTTATGAGATTACTTGTATTATGTATAGCACCTTTCCTCTTTGGACCTTGAAGGTGCCTTTTACAGAATCCGACATAAAAGAAGGTAATTCTCATAGTGCTCTGGGGAGATGGAAAAAATATATTAAAAACCATAGAAAGACCAAATTACTATCGGTGACTAGGGAAATAAGAGTCACTGAGAGTTAAGGGGCTACATAACAACTATGGAGAAGAAAACCTTTGTTCCTACTTTTTTAAAGCAACAGATCCTCCTCCAGCATAGAGAGGCGACTGCGCACGGGGAGATGACAGGGCAGGGAAGCGGCTAAGGGGAAAGAGATGCGTGTATGGATGCAAAGACCTTGGGAGTCAGCACGAGCAGGGGAAGCGAGACACGTGCCCTGTGGCTCTCACCTTTGTCCGTGTATCATTCACAACTTCGTAAGTCTTTTCAGTGCATTGTGATAGAAAAGGAGGAGGCCAGAATGGAGTGTGATGGGGCCGGGAGGTCTTCAGATCTGCAAGTGCACAACCTTCTGTAACACGGTGACAACAAAGATCATGTGAATTGCACATCTGCAGTGATGTTTGCATCTGTGTCCTCGGTACCTGGAGGTTCGCTGTGGGCAATGCAAGAAATATTTCTGAATCAATGAAAAAGCCAGGCTGCTGAAAAGCCCTGATGAACTCCATTACGATTGAGAATTTAGTTTTCAATTTATGGAGATTTTTTTGTAACTTCACACACACAAACACACAAAACATGTGCCGTTTTGTAGATAGGAAAACAATTTTTAAAAACTTGCTCAAATTCACACAGGAAGTAGGGAGGAGACTTAGCTCAGCAAGATGGTGCCATCCCCATGGTTAGAGATTTCTGCACTAGAAGCAGTGATTGCAGAGTAAGACCTCTGTGCTCCTGTTTGTGCCCCTGCTCCCTGTGAATGGTCACTGGGTCAGTGTTTCCTTTTTTTTTTAAGGTTTATTCATTTATTTTACATGAGAACCGGGGTACAGGCCAGATTCACGGGAGGGTGAGAGGATTCACCAGAGACGGAGTGGGGAACAGAACAGGCAGACTGACTGATATACACTGCTGAGGGGAGCAGTGGGTACAACAGGAGAGGTCTGCCGCGCTATGTGGGACCCTCGCTGGCCGGCAGGGATCAAACCCGCGCTGCAGAGGCTGCAGACAGCTTCACAGCGTGGCGCCAACTGCCTGCGCCACCAGGGGAGGCCCAGGTCAGTGTATCTTATCAGAGTTATCGCAGACCACAAACAGGGCTTCTGGGCCATTGGCAGTTGTAGCTCTGCTCTTTCCCTCGTGCCTTCACATCTTCCATTCCTGCAGACAGAATGAACCATCACATCCATCTTCTTCCATGGAGCCCATCTAATTAGTGTCTGATGAGTCTTGGTGTCTTGGTGATATTTCATGCACTTAGGCACTGAGAATTTTAATTGATTTTCAGATCTGCAGTCTCCTTCTTTTTAATATATATTGGCTAGAAATGATTTCTTCTATTTTTTTTTTTGTCTTTCAGTCTTTCCTAATACATACCTGTCTTGTAGTTGCCACTGGGATTTATACAGTAAATCTCTTCCTTCTGTAACGGTTCTCACTTTGGCAAAGATAAATATTAACCTTCCTTCTGAAGCAACACTGCACAGCCATAGTATGTGAATTTCAAGGAAAAAAAATGTATCTTCAGACATTATCATTCCTAAACATATGGAAAATATAGTCACAGTACAGAAAAAAAGTGTCTGAGAATCTGTCAAAAACTTGTTCACAGAGGACTTATGGTCCAAGGAACTATTTTAAAATTTATGTTTTATATCACTGGTCCTGTTAATTCCTTTCATTTTTGAGGAATGAAAATAAATAACAGTTGAGGAAGAAAATAGCAAACCAACCATAAGGCCAGAGAAGACAGATGGGTCACCAGTACCATCTGAGTAGCTGGGGCAGCAAATGTCCATGTTGAACTTCCTTTAAGAAAACTTAAATGAAAAAATTTGCATAGATGTCTTATGAAAGAATGTTTGCCACAGTCTCTACATAAAGGATAAATACCATGTGCGATGGTTAATGTTATGTGTCTACCTGACTAGGTCATAGGGTACCCAGGTTTCTGAGTCAGTATTACTTCCAGGTGTGTCAGTGTGGATGTTTCTAGAAGAGATGACTGTTTGTTTGTTTGTTTTTTAAAATATTTATTTATTTATGCCTACATAGGCCAGAGGTAGGGGAAGGTGAGCGGATTCACCAGAGACACAGTGGGGAGCAGAACAGGCAGACTGACTGAAATACACTGCTGAGGGGAGCAGCAGGCGAGACAGGAGAGGTCTGCTGTGCAATGTGGGTCACCACCCTGGCCAGGGATCAAACTTGTACCACAGTGTCTGGGGATAGTGTCATAGTGCTGCAACTTAAACCCTTGTGCCTCCAGGATGTCCCGAAGAAATGACCTTTTGGAGTGGTCAACTGAATAAAGCAGAGGGCCTTCCCTAAGAGATGGGCATCGTCTCTCCTCCTGAGGGCCTCCAAAGAATAGAAGGGCAGGGTGAGTACACACACTGCCTCACTGTGAGCTGGGACATCTCTCTTTGCCTCATGTTTTCTCGTCCCTGGGCCTGCAGACTCAGACTGAAATCCACACCATCAGCTCCCCAGTTCTCAGGCCTTTGAGCTGCACTCGTGGCTTCCTTGCCCCCCCACCCAACTTGTAGATGCAGATAGAGGATGTCAGGATCCATATTCATAGGAGCCAATACTTTAATAAACATCTTTCTGTATCTCTTAATTCTGTTTCTCTAGAGAGCCCTGACTAATACAATAGGATTCAAGCTGTAAGAATAGATCTCTGTATTATTTCACTTTAGGAAGATTATCTGGGGAAAAACAGCAAACAGACCATAATAGCAGTCGAAACTCATGCATCTGTTTTGCATCTAGCAAACCTTATAGTAATAAAGCAAAACAAAGATAAATTGTGTGAGGTGTTTGAGTGTGTGTGTCTGTGTGTGTGTGTGTATTTGTAAGGGGTTGGGGGGAGAGAGAGGTTGATTAGAGATGACCAATGACATATTACAAATCTACTTGCAGTACAGGACATTTGTGTTAATTTCAATATGAAATGACTGTGAAAGCGGGATTCTAAAATAAAACATCTGTCCACAAACAGCTTTTTTGACAAAAGAAGAGGCACCTGGATATTGCTTAGTTACCTCTATTTCACAAGTATGTGTGTGGAAAGCATGTATGTGATTAAAAATACATATATGTTATCACAGAGATGACATTTCTGACAGTATAGAATAGAACGGGATCTTTCACTGGCATAGACTCAGGAGAGAGCACTGATGTGAAAAAATACAAGTACGCACAGTGGGAATGAAAATCGATGTTGCCAAATGTTATTTCTGAGGTAAGCTTATTGAAGACCTGGCAATAAAGATAGGAAGCTATAACCAATGTCAGATAAATAACTGGCTGCGTAGGAACCTGCATGGAGAAAGGGAAGAAGGAGTTTATGTCAGGAAGAAGGAAAAAGTGTGTTGGGAAGGAAATGAGTGAAACAGTGAATACTTAGAGTAATCCCTCCTCCCCACTCACAGCCCTATTTTTAAAGGACACATGGGACAGGTGAAGCCACTCTCTAAAGAGGGAGTTGGTACTTGAAAATCACAGATGATGAGACTAATCTGATGAGGAACAGTTGTCAAACTTTGGTGAAAAGGGTATTCACCAATCTCCTGAGGAGATGGGCAACAAAGCCAGACCCTCAGGGCCCCTAGCTGAGATTTACCTCAGACCTGGAACATTCTAGAGAGGGGAATAGATCCGGTCCCAGCAGTTAGTGTGTCCATGGTTTCGTGAGACCCGGTGGTGATCCCGTACATACTCTCCCACGTAGGAAAGCAGGCAGGGATTGAAGTTTGTTAAAGTCACACATTCCATAGTAGCAGGTTAGTGAGGTCTAATTGGCACACAGTAGCTGCACACGTTTGCAGCCATGGGACCACAAGACCCATCAAAATAGCATCCATCCCCCAATCATTACTCCATGGCCCATTGTAGTCCCCCCTCCAACTCCTCTGACCCTAAGTCCCCCTGAACCTACATTTTTTTTTCAATTCAGATTAGTTTGCATATTCTAGAATTTTGTAGACTCACACAATCTTTATTGGTTTTGGTCTGGCTTTTTTCACTCAGTTTAATAATTTTGGGACTGTTCACATTGTATCTGCAGTTTATTCCATTTTTCCTGCTCATTCAGTAGAGATTTATTGATTTTATTGACTTCCTCACAGAGGTAGCTTTATTGTGTTATTTGAGTCGTTATCGTAGGGTTTAACTTACTATCCTTAACTTAGCACAGCCCACATGCTGTCAAGCTAGTGGAAGAAACTTTCAGGAGTTCACGTCCCCTCCTGGCCTCTGTTCTCTGTGGTCAAACATTGTCCGTTCACATACAGTAAATAAAAATTGAGTTATGATCATTTGAAAAGTGACAAAGAATGTCTTCATATTTCTCCATGGTCACAGTTTCCATCTTGGATCCTTTCACTTTTGCTTGAGGGTTAGAGCTTTACAAGCTCTTACAGAGTGATAAATTCTTTCAGCTTTTGGGTGTCTGAGAAAAAGTTTTTATGTCACCTTCATTTTAAAGAAATTTCCCTGGATTATAAATTCTGAAGTAAAAGATTTTCCCCACGTTCATTACTTAAACATGTAGTCATACTTCCTTCTCACTCACGTGGCTTCCAATGGGAAAACTACTCTCCTCCTTGCTGAATCGAATGTGTTCTTTCCAGCTGCTTGGAGGCTTTTCCCCTTTTCACCGTTTCAAGGGATTTGATTGTAATGGGCACTGATCTGGGGGTTGACAGTTTAATCACATTTGGAACATTCTCACACTATTTCCTTTCTTTCCATTTTTGGAGATTTCTAGTGCACATATATTTAGCCTCTGAACTGGTCTCTCTGTTCATTGCTGCTTGGTTGATTGTTTTAGTCTTATTTTCTCTCTGTATTTTCATTTTCCATGGTGCCTGCTACTGTCTTTTAGAGTTCACACTTGTTTTTTCTTCTGATAGTCTGGTATTCCATGGTAATGTCCTCAGTGTGCTTTTAATCCTTAATCTTGAACTTTTCATTTCTAGAAATTCTATTTGGACCTTTTAAAAATTGGACATACCTCTTGCTCTCATGTTCAGCCTTTCTTCTAGCTTCTTGAATATATGGAATACACTCATAATTACTGTTGAAATGTTTTTGGCTACTAATTCTACCAGGGCTCAGTTTTGATTGATGGTTTGCTCTTCATTATGAATAGTGTTGCTCTGCCTTTTTATATCCCTCAGTATTTTTAAATGGCTAAAACCTTTTATATTTCTAAAATTGTTCCCGGTGTTTCTTTTGTAACATGGTTAAGTGACGTGGAAACAATTTGATCTTTCAGGTCTTGCTTTTAAGATTTGGTAGGTGGGGATTCAGGCAGCGTTCGGTCTAGGATTAAATTACCCATTACTGAAGAAAGACGTTCCTCAGTACTTTACCCTATGTCCTGTGAATTATGAGGTTTCAGTCTGGCTTCCGAGAACAGGCCCTGCCTGGGCGCCTGCTCCCTCCATTGCACCCTAGAAACATCTCCAACAGGAAGCAGGGGTAATCAGAGGGCTCACCTCATTTGTTTCTCTCAAGGATCACTGTCCTTTTTACTTGATGTCCAATTTCTTGAGAGCTATTGATTCATCTATTTTGTCCTCTTCATTAGTTGTTTTGGGTACTAGAATAAATCTTATCCTTCTTATTCTACCTCGACCAAAACTAGAAGCCCTGAGAGCTATACTTTTAGCTTTGATTTTATTTCATTGATTTTTCTTTGAAGAAAATTATATATTAGCCTTGGTACTTTTGCTGCTATTTGTAAAATGTCCTTCATAACAGACCATGACCTACCATATGCTACGGGAACACAAAACATGTATTGAATTAATATATCCTCCTGGGAGAAAACAGAGAGGTCAAGAGTGTCTCAGCACAAGTCAATTTTCATAGGGACATTAACACTGTAAGACTGAAAACAGAATTCTGATGGACAAGGCTACAATTTCTTGGAGGACTAAGAATCTTAAGGGCAGGGATGGATGAGTTGTCACCAAGGGACAGCTTCGCAAAGTCTCCCTGAATATATTTTGTTTCACCCTCTAAAGGTTTTGATTCTTTGTAGGCATGTTCACAAGGTGTTCTTGCAGGTTGCAGAGCAGGGGGAGCTTATGGGATGTGCAATTGGGCAGCCCAAGGCAAATCAAATATTCAAGTAGAATGGAAAACCATAACAACAGAGGAGGGGCATTCCAGAACTCTCCTGAGCAGTAGAATCTTTCCCAGACAGAACAATATTCTGTGTCCTTCCCACTCCAGCCTGAGGACCAGAGGTTACCTCAGAGAGCTCTTCAAGAAGGAAGGAGGGGAAATTTCAGTCAGTGATGAAGATGAGGCTAAGACTATGTCATCATGGCATCCCGTGGACTTTTCCTAAATGACTTCTAAGCAACAGAGCTGACTTCAGGGCGACGGTCTCCGGTTAGGGACAGGAAATGGTTAGTCTGTCATTTGCAGCCTGTGACCTCAGTGAGGACTGCTAACAAGATAGGCAGCAGATCCTTCAGGGATGCCTCTTTCTTGGGGACAGTTTCTCCATCTCACCCTCCTGCGTGGCTTTTAGGAAGTCCTGTTTCAGGCTTAGAGAGGGGTGGGTAGACAGCCCTGACGTGCCATACAACTTCTGGAGACAAGTCTTTGTCATAAAGAATTTGTATGAAGAGTTCTCCAGAGAGATCACAGGCTTGAAGACAGCTGAGCCACCTCCTTGAATTGATCTGAAGTGTAAACCCCACTAACGTAAGAGAGTTGGGAGTGAGCTTGCAAGTCATTGCAATGGAAAGGAAGAAAATAAAGAGACAAAAGCTACAATGTAAATTAAAGATTTTTGAAGGAAACCAAACTATTTCTGAAAGGAATTAGTCTCTGAAAATATGCTTTGCGGAGAATAAAATTGATCATAAAAAGAAGGATTAGGGTCAAAATAAGGGGGGGTGCAATTGTATGGGGAATATAACCAAAATGAAAATGCATATGTTGTGCAAAAATGAAAGATGATGTAAGAATTATATAAAATAAAATATTTAAAAAAAGAGTTAAGACAATGAATCCTGGTTCCCAGATTAGCAAATAAGTCTGTACAAGACAACTTTCACCATACAGGCCAGGCCAGGCCCACCTCCTCAACCCAGCTCCTTTGTTAGTAAAGGATATTTTGAATTAGAACTTTGGTCCTTGACTGAACCCCATTCCTGTACTTTTTATTGGAGTGATTGGTCAGCTGTGATGTAAAATATATCACAGAAATCTTGCTGCCATCTATTGTCTCTCTTCCCCTGGGAAAGAAGCACACAAAAAATTAAAATAAAAATAAATAACCACAAAACATCCAGCCAGGAAACCTTTCCCAGTCTTATTGACAAGATATGTGTGGACAACATCAGGCAGTTTTTGTGGTTTTGGCTTTTGGGTTTTTTTTTTTTTTTCCCAGAAAGAAAGAACTGACTTAATGGCAGGAGTGTCCTTTGCTTCACTTGCTGCTTCTCACCTACTTCCTGGAATGCTGATGTGATGAATGGTGTTCAAGCAGCCATCTTGAATCATGCAGCAGTCTTGAAGATTTGCTGATGATTACAGAGCCAAAAATGAATGGAGCCCTGTCTCTGACAATGCCATAAAGTTTCTGTGAGAACACTAGATTGCTTGCTTATTCTCTGATCTCAATTATGAAATAAACCCTTGGCTGTTCTTATTGCTTTTCTCCTTGGGCAGTTAAACCTATTCATGAATGATCCAAAGTACAGTGCAAGAGGAGGTCAATTGTCAAATTGCTGGAAAAGTACATATGACATAGTGAACCCAACTGACCAGAACAGAACAGAGCTATGCTGTGGCCAAGATTCCAGACCATGGTGAACAGATAATTTGGGCAGGTCCAGGATATAGGCCACTGCCCAAGGAATAACCTAGAATCAAAGGTGCAGAGAAGACCATGAAAAGAGTCCAAGAAAAACATGTTTTTGATCTGACTATTTAGAAGAATTTCAGATGAATATTAGTGGGAGCCCTGTGATCCATTTTCAGACAGGCAGTTCTGCCCTTAGGGCACAATTTAACCTGCTTTAAAAATCTTGATATTCTGAATCCAATATCTATGTTAAACTAAAAAAAAAAAAAAAAAAAAGAGAAAGAAAAAGAAAAAATTGAAACATTTTTTTCCTTACAGCAATGATATGCATAGTGAATAAATAAAGAAAAACATTAAGTTCTATGAATAAAAGCAATACCATACTTCTGCAGTGTGAATAAATGAAAGTGTGTGTGTGGACATGTGTGTGCCCTTGTGCAAGTGTGTTTCATTGTCAAGGTGATGTCAGAGGTGTTAAGAAACCCTAAGAATGGTCTGAAAATAGAAATGAAAATGAACAAAACCTCTATGGACAAGGCCAAGGCAGAAGCAGTAATAAGGCTGCTCATTAGCGGATTGGGAGCCAAGGAGTGGAATGTGGATGCAGGACGTAATGCAGGGAGAGGCTCAGTCAGGAGAATGGTGAGCTGAAACCATGACCTTGGCCAGGGCTGTGGTGGGGGTAATGGTTTTTCTTCACTATGCTAGTTAGAAGGTCTTTCAAAGCATAACATCCCTTATTTCAGGATTGTCTTTCCTCTGTGACAGGGGAACAGCAGCTGAAGAAAGCTGTACTGCCTCTTTACCTGCCCTTCCTCTGTGTGTGTGTGTGTGAGAGAGAGAGAGAGAGAGAGAGAGAGAGAGAGAGAGAGAGAGAGGAGCCATTATGTGATGGAGGGGCTGAAACATTGCCTTTGTTCTCAGAGGGTAGGTTTTTGTAGCCACCAGAACCCAAATAGTCCAGAAAACCACACCTCCTGATTTATGTTCTACATTTTTATCATAACCCTTTGAAAATGGATTGAAGATGGACATTGGCAACAATGTGTTCTTTTCTAAAATTAAAAAGAAGAAGCACATATTTGTTTATCTAGAATTCCTCAACGCTGTCCTCCTAAATCTGTAATCATTCAGCATTTATTAACTAAAGAAAAGACAGAGGCAAAACTAAAGGAAACGAAAGAAATATACTTGTTAGAGGAGTCCAGGGTGCTTGGCTACTCAACCAGCCAAAATTCGAGAGACAAGAATTAATGGAAGGAAATCAAGTTTAAGGAGGTTGTAGCTTAACCCTTGACTTACTTCTACCTCCATCTGGGTTTCAGCCAGTTTTGCCTGGTTTTCTGATTCTGTCAGCAAGAAAAGATAAATAGGAACCAAACAAGGAAGAATAGTGCAAAGTCAAGGAGCTCATGGCTACCAGGCTGGCGACGTACTGACTCTATTCCATTTTGAAAATTTTCTGAAGCTAATTGAACATCTAAAACTGGCTACTAAATATGGCAGATGGAAGGCAGGAGGTAGAGAGGGAGTGTGGGAGTAAGAGTAAGAACAAAGGAAAAACAGAAAAAAACCCTCAGACTTGCCCCATGGAACACACCTGGTAAATTCAGTTTCATCAACTTAGAAAGGAAAAGCCTGGCCATTCATTCAGTCGTCTGGTACATTCTTGACACAGTTGTACTTTGAGGCAACTGAAAAATTGTGAAAGAAAGAAGAAATCACAGAAATGCAATAATTTAAAATGTGAGTTGCAAATTATTGATAGAGTGCAAAGGTGGAAATGAATTTATAGAATTTTTTATCTGAAAAGAATGGAACATTTAATTGATATAATTTGTAGTGGGCACATGATCATATAACTGTCTGAATTATAATCATAATATACAGAAACTCTAAAAGTAGAATAGAGGACTATGATCCCTGATGTTTTTAACATTTCTGGGTCTATAGAAGTTGAGCAGAGAAAAAAAAAAATCAAATAGTAATCCATAGTTAAAACTTCCTTAGTAGATAAAAATTATTACTCTGGGCCATAAAAGCTAGGTTTTGGATAATAGAAGAGATTTAGCTATGGAAATGCAGGAAGCCATCATATTTTTTCCTTATGGTAAATTTTACTTTTTACTGAAATGATGGAAGAGAGACAGGATTCAGGAAACCAAAAGCCATATAATTGCAGTAAATTATTAACCATGCACCAGTACCAGTCTCATAAATTAATTAAAACATTCACATTCATCTTATTATAAGAACCCACTTTTCCTCCTAACAGACCATTTATTATTTTTCTAACTACAAGAATAAAAAAGCTTGAAATTACATTGAAAGGATTTTCACCTTCATAAAATACATCACTTTGTAGACTAAATGGTAAATTGGAGAAAATTTCACCTAATATAAAATCACCTGCTAATATTCTTATTCTATATTTCTTAATAAAACCAGGGACAATAGTCTATCGTCCAACAACCTCTTGCCTCAGAGTTCTGGGTGAAACAATAAGTTATCCAACTCATTTCAAATGATTTGTTCTATTTGAATTACTGCCTTCTGAGTCCCCAAACCTACACATAAATAGTAAATGACACCCAGGCATTGAGAGGGAAAAAGTCATGTCCGCATCTGCTCCCGTATTTGAGTCTCAATATTAGCTACCTGTGGAATGTGGCCAGGGAAAGGAAGAAAGGACTCCGTCACCTGTTTTTCCTAACAAAGATGAGAATTTTATGAGCTCTATGCTCCCCTTCCACCCCAAAGCGCACATGATTTAGCGGCCTGTGTGACATCAGCAAGATCAACATTCTCTGCTGGAGGCAGACAATTTCATAGCTGAGTAAGAACCCAGAAACTCAAGCTCAAGGGAGAGAAGCCCCTGGAAAAAAACAAAAAGAAACAAAAAACCTTGAAGGACCATCTCACTGAAAAGACAAAGAGAAAATATCGGTGCAGGAAATGACGCCTCCACGCACCGAGCGGCAGATGTCTGGACGGGATGTGATTGTGCAGGACTGGGCGTCTCTCAAGTCACCACCCACCTGGCCCACTTCCAGGCCTCTACAGGAGCAGCGCCTGTGACTGACCACACCGCCCCAATTTGCGTGGCTCCAGGGTTGCAGTCACCATCTGCAAGTGGCCTGACAGAGGATTAGCCGCTTGGAAAAGACTCCTCCTGCCCTGGCGCCCTCCCTCACCAAGAACCAGAGAACAATCACTCTTATCTCTGAACTACAGGGAGAGAAGTTGGGATGACTTCTGTGTTATTGTGAAAAGGTTGAGGGCTCCCGCAGAGATTTCAAGATGGGGCGCTGAGTAGAGTTTGGAGAGTTTTCCCTGTGAGGACATGGAGATTTTGTTACTTAATCTTTACTCTCTCTGCTTGATGGGGTTCAGATGTGGAGGTTCAGTGAGTACTTTGGGGCCCTCTGAGAAAGATTTCAACAGAGTTTCCCCTTCAGAGGCACAGGGCAAGTTTATTTAGGAGAAATACATCTGCATAAACACAGAGAGGCAAAGCCTGCATTTTAAAGGATTATTAGGAAGAAGGACACCTACATAGACACAGCCCGTAAAGAGCTGCACTGGGAAGGAGCAGGTTTAAGAAAGAGTCACCTGCACAGATGCAGGAGGGCAGCCTTAAGGAACAAGATAAGATGTGTGTTTGCCAGAGCAAGGGGTGTTCTTTTGTAGTGTTCATTGGGGGAAATTCCTTTGTGGAATTTTATATCTTTGGTGTCAGCTTGAGTTGGTTTTCTGTAACAGATAATCCTTTCTAAACGTGCCGCAGATTCCTGCAAAATTCCATAGCCTGTTTACCAGTGGGTTAGCTCAACATGGCTTCATGTTGTCCCTGTGAGATCTTCAGTCCTAAATAGCCTGCTCTAAGCTTCCATCATGCTCATTGCCTTCTGTCCCTTGACTTAACTCTATGCCAGCCTCCCACTCTCTCTCTAAAGGTGACAGGGAAATGAGAAGGGAGTCACTTCCTCAACATTCTTGCCTAGAACATCTGAATGTCCACAAAGGACCTAGCCCCACCCACACACAGTTTTAATTCATGCACACTGAGCATAATTTAACTTTGGGGGTCATAATCTTTGGGACAAAACTGTTCTGGCAAAGATCAGCCCAACCTAGTCCTGGCATCCTCTTGACAGGCACCGGCCTCTCATGATCAAAACGCACCTCATCTCTATGAAGCTCCCTGTGTCATGTTTATCATCATCCACGGAAATCAGGACACACATCTAAGTGTTTCAGAGCACATACTTAGGCTTTTATTTTTTTTTTAAATTCTGATACACATGAGTGTTCCTTTGTCTCCCTAAATCTCAGTGTTTGCAAACATATCAGTTCAGATACCAACACCAACTGTCCATGACCTGAACAACGGTGCAGTCTAGCAAGGCAAATGCAGCATGCACATGAGCAACTCTAAGACAGTACGGGATGTGTAAGCACATGGGAGATTTGTCTGCAAAATGCCATTATAATATAGAAGCTGCTAAAGTTGTGTCATCTTGAGGCTGAGGGAGCATGCCAAAAAAAGAAAGAAAAAGACTGGCAAAGAAACAAGTAGCATTTGAGGGCCTCCCTGGTGGTGCAAGGGGTTAAGTTACTGCAGCACTAGTTCAATCCCCAGCCAGGGAGCTGCCTACATGGCGCAGCAGACCTCTCCTGACTTGCCTGCTGCTCCCCTCAGCAGTGTATTTCAGTACAACTGCCTGTTCTGCTCCCCGCTCTATCCCTGGTGAATCTTCTCACCTTCCTGCACCTCTGGCCTACATCCCAGCTCTTGTATGCATAAATAAATAACTCTTAAAAAAAGAAAAAGAAACAAGTAGCATTTGAGCAAAGTCAGTGGTTTTTCAACCCTGTTAAGTGTTAAAAGCTGTGAAAAGATGCTAAAACCTAGACCCAGCCTCTGATTCCACTGGGTTATTATGCACAAAATCACTAGTTACAAGTGTGAATTGTAACTATTGTAAGTTTTCATTTTCAAATAAGATGAAAATATTTCTTCTCCAAAAAAATTATGGCATTTCAATATTTTTGGCTATTGTAAATCAAAAGAATCTGTTTTATTCCTTGACAGCTAGCTGAAATCAGCTCTATGACCATGAAAATAAAATGGGAAAAAATGGGAAAATAAAAAAAAATAGAGAGATTGCTGCATTTTGATAAAAAACATTTTCATATATTAAATAAAGTGTTTATTTTGTTAAAAAATACAGCCCCTGTTCTTTCAGAAATACAAATCCCAATAATAAATCAAAGTGAACACATTGCTTTAAGCAATCATATAGGCACATGTTTATCTACATACATATGCAGGCACAGATATGTCTATGTATATATAGATATATGAATTTCAGTTAAGTTTATGTGAATGCTTTTTAAAAAAAAGATATCAAGTGATTTTATGTAAACAAATCAAATGGATTTAAAGCATATTTGCTATGATGTCAATGCCTCTTTGAGATGTCAGTGCCATGGAAATTTAAGCTAAATCATACCCTTAGCATGGAGCATGCACATATTTTTTTAAAAATAAATAGTAATAGATGATGGAAGAAACACAAAGCGTTTAAGTGTTCTGAAAGTCAAGGAATTTGAACTATCATGTACTTAAAAAGCGTTAGCAAATAAAAGACAAATAGGGTCAATAACTTGTCTTTGAGCAGTTTTCTGACATCTTCTGTTATTTCCTCAGCTGAAGCTCAGTGGCTATTCAGTCCCTGTCTTTTTTAGAGGCATTTTAATCTTTCTGACCTGTTCTTTCCTTGTGCGAGGACAGCCAGGGAGTAGAAATTGTTTTTATTTTTCTGCAGAAAAAAAATCTCTGTCCCAGAAGACCTCCACTCGGCAAACCACATCATTTCCTGACCCGATCACATCTGAAGGGGTGTGGGGCGCAGTGGAGCATCTACACAAGCGGCTGGCATCGCCCTAATCCCAGTCACTGGGGCTCGCGGTGACAGAACCATGCTGCTACTAATCAGTTTCACACCAGGGAGAAGCATGGTGGAAACATGCAAATCAAGAACAGCACCAAAGTAGCTTGGAAATGTTTGAAAAACAGAGGTATCCAGCATCACTTTTCTGTGCCAAAAAAGCAGAAACATATGCTTCTCCCTTTTTCTTTTAAATTGGAGAATTTAGCTCCTGTTACACTGTTGTCTTCCCCGAGATCAGTGTCACTGGGTAACAGTGTTGAGTATTGCCGTTTCTAAGGAAAATTAAGAGAGAAGGAGACAACATCAGTCTATTGCTTATTACCAAAGCATATGAGAAAGTGTTCTCCGCCCTGGTTTCTTTCCTTCTTAAAATATACAGCTTTAGAATTAAACCAGCTCTCTGAATTATTGCAATTACTGACCTAAACTTATGCTGCTATTTTAGTTCCTAATAAAAAGATGCGTGCGGGAGGTGAAATGTTGTATCTCACAGTCAAGATGGAAAGCTGCATCTGTAGGATTTCTAGGCTAAATTGGTATCAATTTCATGTAACATGAAGAATTCAGGTCTTGGTTAGCTTCATTTACATGGATAAACATTAAGATCCCCCAAACCATTAGTCAAGATCAAACTGTAGTATTTGATCTGAGTTTAATATTTCAAGTAATTAATAAAATGAGAAGTCGGCAGACATGAGCTTCAGCATTTTTCAGGTGACTTTTTGGCAAAAAATTAGGGTAGAGCATCAGATTCACTTCTGTGCATTTATACCTAATCTGAAGATTCATTTTTCAGGGTATGGGAGGGTGAAAACTGAAATTAATGCCAAAGATATTCCACACACAAGACCAAAAATAGCCTGAAATAGCCACAAGCAGATATTTTCACCCAGGTGCAGCAGTAAGACAGGAAATGTGTATACCAGTATCAGTGAAATCAAAATCATCTAAGTCATCTCATTTAAAAAAGTAATGATATAATAGGCAAATCTCAATTGTGGGGTTTGATTTTCTTGGATGGTCTCCATCAAATAAATCAACAACAGTTTAATTATCCAATCTAGGAAGGAATAACCATCATGCACTAGGGTGCTGACAATGGTCTGATTAAGAAATAGATTCATCTCTTTGTCAGGGAATCACCAAGGACTGACCGCAGGAACTAACAAGGAGAGATCAGTTTCTCGCCACCCTATGTTACTGTCTATGCATGTGAATATCTACTTGACCGGACACTACAACTCATTGCTAGGTTTGAGTAGGGAGTAATAGGCAAGAGTGGCAACATAACTGCCTTTCTTCTTTCCAGGTAACTTTACCTGAGGTTACAGTCAGCATTTATGCCATGAAAACTATCCGGACTATTTTGAGAATCAAACTAGTAAAGTTAGGAATAGATCCTCTTCCTTGACACTTCCAGAAATTAATTTCCCCCTATCAAAACACAGGGGAGCATGTCCTGTTAGCCCCTGCTACTCTTGTTGAACCTCTATGTGCTATAGCAGTGCAAATCACAGCCCTTTTTTCCCACTGTATTTCAGAGTTTCCAGTGCCATGCACCCTCCATTCCAGAGACTTGTCACCCATCTAATCAATGCAGTGACTTCCAAGTCCATCTCTTTCTGCTACTGTGGGTGAGTCATTTGTGCTAAAGACAGAAAGATGTTGAATAGTTAGGAAATGTTTTCCCTGGACATCAGGAGAGTCCTTCATAGTTGTCATGGGAGAGGTGTAGTTGTCTACTGCCAGATAAATAATCTAATACAGAAATAGTAGTAACCTCTGGTCTTAATAATCCTTGAA